CCAGAACCTGGCAAAGATGTTCTTGTTGGGGTGGGAAGCCAGGTGAGGCTGACATTGCTTAGGTATCTATGGCTGGGCCCAGGTCTGGCAGATTGGCTATTTGCTGTAGCTTGCCTTGGTGAAGATGAGGCTTGTAAGGGGGACAAAGGTAGAAACAGGTGGAGAAGCTAGTGTTCACATCTCCAGCACAAGCTGCAGATCACCAGGATACCTTACTGTCTACCCATCTTGCTGGAGACCCTTGGTCAGTCCACCTAACACCAAGGCCCTTCGTTCCCTGGAGCTGGGCTTATCAAGGTCCTTCTGAATGTTTCAGTTCCTTAGGGTTTTCCTTACTCACCTGGGAACTGCCCCATTTCACTCTGACATCTCTCTAAGATTATTACAAAAGACTACAACAAAAACAGACTTCTGGGGCTGGAGAGATGGCTCAGAGGTTAAGAGCACTGGCTGCTCTTCCATAGGACCTGAGTTCAATTCCCAGCAACCACATGGTGGCTCATGTCCATCTATAATATCTGGTGTTCTCTTCTGGTGTGCAGGTATACACGGAGGCAGAATGTTGTATATATAATAAATAAACTAAAACAAAAAAAACCAGACTTCTGGGCAGCCATACACACAGGTGATACTGATTGCACACATTAACTTCTACTGTCCACAACTCATCATTGCTTTAAAATACATTTCGTTGTTCTTTTAAAGGAATTTCTTAAATGAAGAGTGGTCAGAGAAAGCAAACCAATAGTTTTCTGTTGTTCGGTGAGAAAACTGATTACTCAGAAATGGGGGGGGGGGATGTATTCCACACAACCCTCCAAGGAGAAACATTAGACATGTCATGAGCTGGAACTTGGCTATCAGCCTGCCAAGATGATAGCATTTCAATGTTTTAAGAAAGGGTTGGTTTGCCAGGCAGTGGTGGTGCACGCCTTTAAACCCAGTACGCAGGAGGCAGAGGCAGGTGAATCTCTGTGCGTTCAAAACCAGCCTGGTCTACAGAACTAGTTCCAGGACTAAAACTACACAGAGAAACCCTCTCGAAAAAACAAAAAAGAAAGGGTTGATTTAAGTGCGTGTATATGTTCATATGTGCACAGGAGCACGCAGAGACCAGTGTCTTCACCTTGTTTTTTTGAGACAGAGACTCTCAATGAAGCTGGAACTCACCCATTTGGCTAAACCCATTGGCCAGCAAGCCTCCCTGAATCCTCCACTGCTTCCCCAGCACCAAGATTACAGACTCATGTTTTATGAGTTTTATGCTGATGCTGGAGATCCAAACTCAGGTCCTCATCCATGCAAGCACTTTACCAAATGTCATCTCCCCAATCTTTATGTATTGGTTTTCTTTTTCCTTTTTTGGAGATGGGGGTTTTATGTAGTTCAGGCTGGCCTTTAACTCCATATGTAGCTCAAGATTGACCTTGAAGTTCTGGTCCAATCTCTACCTTTCTGAATCTTGAAATTACAGGTATGCACCACTACTCCAGTTGTGATAGGCAAACATTCCACCAACTAAGCTATGCCTTCAGTCCTATGGCATCTTCTCACACTTCCTAAGATGCTGATTTTTTTTCTATATTAACTATAGACCAAGGCATATTAATAGGTCAAGACCTCAGACCACAGAAGGTCCTGACTAATACAAACTGAAAAGGTTTGCCTGGTAAAGAATGCAAGGTTAATTCAACCTAACAATTGAGTCTGATGCCAAAGAAATCTACCACCTGTACTCTGAAGTAGACAATCAAGTGCATCAGAAGCAATTATCTGGCCTTAGAGGATACAGGACAAGTATTCTGGCAAAGCACAGGGTTTTCAAATGCAAGTCCAGTTCGGTGACCTTCAAGGCTACATCTGTTTTTTTTTTTTTTTTTTTTTTTTTTTTTGTATTGGGTTTTAAAGCTTTTAGAAATCACTATATTCTTAGCTGTATTTCATTCCTATTCTAAATAGGAAAAGGGACCTAGAAACATGATGCCTGTGTAACAAGAAACTCATCATGAGGAGAGAATTTTAATGTTTTAATGTCAGATGCAAAACACTCATCTTTCCTGCAAGTATCTATGTCACTGAGTGGGATGCCTGGTCAAGGAAATCAATGGGCAGTTAGTGCACTTCCACCGCAGAACATCTAACACTGGAAGCCGAGACAACAGGCAAACAAGAGCTTCCCTGCCATTAGATAGGGAAACTGCCTATGCAAACCAAGTTGGCCTCTAATTTGCAGCCATCCTTCTGCCTCTGCCTCCTGAGTGCTGGATTACAGCCATCACTGCATTTCACCTCTCTCTGTGTTTTGTCTTTCAAGACAGGGTTTCTCTGTGTGGCCCTAGCTCTTCTGGAATTGAACTCACAGATCTTTCTGCCTCTCCCTCCAGAGTGTCGGGATTAAAGGCACCAGGGCCCAGCTGCTCTTCACTCTTGTATGGAATTCCCCAACTAAATTCTATTTGAATGACTATGACTATTCTGGCTGCTCTGACTACTTTAGCTAAGATCCTGTTCAATTTCCTTAACATTTATAAAAGGGCTGGTGTCCCACTTGAAAAAAAACAAAAAACTTTTTTGGGGTGTTCTGAGAGAGGCTGTCTACCTGTGGCTAAGTACAATTGACAGGAAAACAATACATACAGGCTAGCAATTCAAACATAAAAAGCTATGTACATTACAAGTTATACAGTTGGTTTTCGTGTACTTTGTGAACGCAGTATATATCTTGAAGGTATTCCCAAAGGTGTCCTTCAAAACAGATGAATTAGTAGACACAGTGGATCATAACTATGATTCCAGTATCTGGAAGGCAGAAACATCGGGGACTAGAGTTTGAGAGAGTCAACTCTTTTTTGCACTGATGAGGGATAGGAGAAACCTCTATCAATATAGCTGGCTTTCAGCCAACCCTATGTGGATGCAGAGAACCATGCAATGTTAATGAAGTCTCTTGCTGGTACTAGGTAGCCTTGTCTAGGTGTTAAGAATATAGATGGAAATAAAAACAGCCATATCAAATTCAGTAAGTGCTTTTCTAAAATAAATACAAAAGATAAAGATATAGTGACTCCTCTCAAGGGACTCTTAGACTGGAATGTAGCACTTGCCAGGCAAGAGCATGGCCTGTTCAACTTCCAGATCCTTGGGGAAAAAAGTCTCTCAGCATGAGCATGGAAGCACACACCTATAATCTCAGCAACCGATCGACTGAGGCAAAAGGATTACAAGTTTGAGACCAGCTTGGGCTACATAGTAAGACCATGTCTCAAAATGAAAAAGGAAACAAATACCCCCAAAAGCAAGCAAGCAATTCCTTATTCAAAATACGGCTAGACCTTTGAGAAATTTCAGAATACAAGGCTTGAAATTTGACAAAATTGGACTCTTCAAAGCAATAGTAACTACGCCTTTAATCCCAGTACTCAGGAGGCAGAAGCAAGCAGATCTCTGTGAGTTTGAGGCCAGCCTGGTCTACAGAGCGAGTGCCAGGATAGGCTCCAAGCTACACAGAGAAAACAACAACAAAAAGCAATAGTCAGCCTACTTCCTAAAGCCTAGTGATCTGCAATGATAGCTTTCTCTTTCCATTGCTATTTCCCACCTTGTCTGTTAATCCCTAAGTGCTCTCCAGCATGCAAATTGCTTCTCAGGTTTCAGTCTGTCCTACCATCCTCCAGTTCTGGACGGCCACAGCTGCCCCTTGTGTGCTAGCCAGATCTCTTGGCGGTTTTCCTTACTCCCACTGCTGCCCACACGCCATCCTCCACACCTCCCTGTCTAGAACAGTTTCCCACTCCCATCTGCCATTTCCCCCACCTCCTTTTGATTTCATCTCTGCTTCAAAAGCCCTCTTCTCCCAGGAAGCTTTCCTTAATCAAGATGAAAACCCTTCACACCACAACAAATACTACCAAACACTGAAGTCTAACATGTCCTAAGTCTCAGACCAGTGATTACCCTTCATGGTGGGATGGAATCTGTTTGTAAGCAACCAGTATTGGTGGTGGTGATAAAATGCATTTTCAAAGAAGAATGCTTACTAAAGACAGGAAATCATTTCCACAAGTTGTCTTTTTTTTTATTGAGAATTCTTTCTAATATTTTGATTATTTATCCTCCTCCAACTCCCCCATATTCTACACACCTCCCCACCCACCCAATTTCATGTTCTCTTTCTTCCTCCTTCAACAACAACAAAAAAAAGAAAAACAAACAAAAAAACCCCAGTTAAGACAAAAAGTTGTCCTTTTTAAAGAAGGGAAGTTATGGGACTACTCTCAGATCCATTCTTTATGTCCAGCAGGGTGTTTAGCCAGTGAAAGTGCTCACTGCAGCAGCCTGATGACCTGAGTTTGATCCTCAAAACCCATAGTGGAATAAAAGAACTGACACCAGAGCGTGGTCCTTTGACTCTATATACACACATGTGACATAGCCAGGCTGCCTGCCCTGACCATATGAATTTTAAAAAAAGTACTATTTTCTCAATCTCTGGATACCCATTAGCAAGTTACAAGTCCTAACTAGATATTTGAATGTTAAAGGAGTTAAAGAATTAGCTATTGGAGGTGATTTATGCAGATTCTAAAAGTTATTCCCACCTGCACCTTTGCTTGCAACAGGCATGAGATAACCATGACTCTGAGTTTGGCTTCTTATTTTGCTGAAGGCTTGAGTACCATGTTTCAGATGTGGTGGAACTACTCATCCTCACAGCCAGTGAGTCTCATACGAAGCAGCTTTACTTGTGTTTGAAAAGCAGCTTTTATTGCAGGCTAGTCTTTCACCACTGAGAGATTAGGGTTCAGGTCTCAACTGAAGCAAAGCTGAGTTAGTTGCATCATCTCCATCCTCATGGGCCTGGTATCCTGGGAAACTCAGGGTGACAAGGTGAGACCAGGACACAGGACACACGTGTAAGCAGAGACAGTGCAGTGTGTTGAGGCGGGCATCCAACAACCCAAGTGTGCTTTAGTTACCAGAATATCTGACACACCCACAAATTAAATAGCAAAACATTTTAATCCATTAATTCTAAAAATAACAGAGACATTTTATATCCGGTGCCACCTCCTCAAGAGTCTACTGCAGATCAGACAGCCAGACTGCAAAGTACAAAGCCAGACACAAAAGTTAAAAATGCAGCTTGAGACAGACCATCACGGGGAGATATTCCACCTCTTCAGCTCATAAACTAAGACGTCAGCTTAAAAAAAAAAAAAAAATCCTTGAAAGAAAAGGTTTTCCTGTGCTTTAAAAACCCTCCTCTTTATTTAAAATCTATCTGCAAAATGAGAAGGCATAGAGTCAGCGAGCTTCACTCTCAAGTGCAAGGATCTGGGCTGGACTCCTGGGATGAAATGCTGTGTCGTGGCTTGGCTTGGTTCTATTTTCACCAAAGCCATGATGTGAGGTACTATGGTTCTTGTCTGAGTTACAAGAGGTGCTAGGAAAGAATGCCCACTCATGTTTAATAATAACTAGGTGAGCACACACACTGCATCACTATTCCCACAACAGGAGCACTTTACAGCAAGGCAGAGAAGAAACTGATGCACTTGGAGTCCCCGAGTCTTTCCTTCTTTTCACAATAAGAATCCAACTCAAACCCAAGTCTCCAACATGTGTACATTGACCTTTGACCCGCCGCATTCCAAACTTCTGGTTTGCATTGCTAAGCAGAGACTCAGGCTTTGGTGATGTACCCCTCTCGGATGAGGAAGTCATAGATTTTCCGGGTTTTGTTCACGTCTATCTTGATGAGTGCTCTTGCCTGTGCCAGTCTCAAGCCTCCTTGCTTGTTACACTCATTCAACAGAGCAGATTTATATTCTAAATAGGCTCCAGGTACCAACCTCACCACCTGACAGAGCTGTAAGACAGACAAATTTAATAAACAATGACATCTGTCATTCTCACAATTTACCCAGAAGGTATAGCAATCCCAAGAGAAAAGGGGGGAGGGGGTTTGGTAGGTAAAGGCAGTTGCCACCAAGACTTGACAACTCAAGTTTGATCTCTAGGATCCACATGGTGAAAAGAGAAAACCAACTTCTTCAAATTGTCTTCTGACCCCCACATCATCCTGTGGCACATACATGCCCTCCCTTCCCCCCACAACCAAAAGAAAATGTATTTTTAAAAAAGTGACATCAACCTCCAACTATTTATGGGAGTTGTTGAGTGGCTGGACCACATTCCACTTCCTCTCTTCTCAGTAGACAGACACTGACTAAGAAAAAGGCGCGTGTGATATCAGCCAGGAGAACCTTCAACAAGCGAAGGCTGGCTCAAGGGTCTAGTTCAGTTAGGGAACAAATAAATACATGTCCCTGAGGAGGCGCCAGGCTTGCCCAGGAGTTGAGTGCTAAATGCCTGGGGTTGTCACCCAGCACCTTTCTGACAATGACAGTCAGGGAGATGACACAGAGCACAGCAGGGCATTGAGGGGTGGTGGCATTGCAGGTGCCTAGACTCCTAAGTGTAAATCACATTGTTGGTACTGGCAGAAGAGAGTAGCCTTTGGTTTTTTCATCTCCTACCACGGGGAGGAAGCCATCTTTACTGCTAATGCAGAAAGTAGATTCAGTTCAGTTCACCTGCCATTATCAGCAAGGAGCAGTTTGAGTCCTTATCATTTGGGTAAGCAGTAAAAAGATGTTTGGGATTCCAGACTATTCAACACATAACAATGAGGAACTAGTTTGTGACTTTCTCCAACGCACACTTCTTTCTACCCCAAAAGAAATGTTTATTTTTTTTCTGATGGGTAAAAGACTAATCACAGTACACTGTGACTTCTTAGTGTCTGACATGAGCAGATGCTATGGACCAACAGACAGGGGACACAAAGAAACTGCAAAGGAATAAGATGAGCTCCTCTTTTGTTACACTTTGGGGGGGGTTTTTTGGTTTTGTTTTTTTTTTTTTTTTTTTTTTTTTTTTTTTTTGAGACACGGTCTCCTGCTTGTAGCCCAGGGTTGCCTCTGAACTTACTAGATAGCTGACAGCTGCGGATGTGCCTGAGCACATCCTCTTGCCTCCACCTCCCAAGTGGTGGGATTACATGTACTACCCAAGAAGACTTTTATTTGTTTTGAGATAGCCTCTTCACTGTGTGGCCTAGGCCGACCTCACAGTCTCCCCCATCTCAGGCTTTCAAGTGCTAAAATTAGAGACCTAGACCACACCTGACTAGATGTGCAGATTTAAGTGATAGAAACAGACAAAAGCAATACAGAGATAGCTCAGTGATTACAATGGTAAAGAAGGTTATGGTACTTTTCAAAATCAGTATGTTGTAGGTGTGTTTGTGTGTGCACGTGAGTGCAACTGGGAGGCAGAGGCAAGCAGATCTCTGTTGAGTCTGAGGCAAGTAGCACTACACAGGGATTTAGTTCTAGGCCAGTCAGTGTTACATAGTAAGATCCTGCCTCAAAAGTAAAACTAATGTGCAACTATATATGGCACTGAATTATTTTCCTTATGCTTATCAACATGCTATGGGGACAATTACAAAAACATTTTAAGTGATGGCTACATTGCTGGAGTAAGTGCAGAACCTCTCAAAGCAACCATTCTATTGGGAAAGTCCTATTTTCTTTTTTCCTTTCTTTCTTCTTCTTCTTCTTCTTCTTCTTCTTCTTCTTCTTCTTCTTCTTCTTCTTCTTCTTCTTCTTCTTCTTCTTCTTTTTTTTTTTTTTTTGGTTTTTCGAGACAGAGTTTCTCTGTGTAGCTTTGGAGCCTATCTTGGCACTTGCTCTGCAGACCAGGTTGGCTTCGAACTCACAGAGATCTGCCTGCCTCTGCCTCCTGAGTGCTGGGATTAAAGGCGTGTGCCACCAACGGCCGGCATGGCAAAGTCCTATTTTCATGTAAAAGCAACTTTAGGTCTAAAAAAAGTTTCACTTACATAAAGCATCGAGTGGAGTGTCAGCCACATAAATGCTCAATAAATGACAGCTACTGCTATTATTTAATTGCCACTGTTGCATGCACTTCTCTCTAAAAGGGGAAAGGTAGCTTTGAGATGAAAGGAATTTTCTGGCGCTTACCAAAGTTAGCTCTTTAGCTCTTAGACTTCTCAGACAAGAGCTGTGCACATTAGACAAGTGAAGTGAAATAGGCTTGATGATGTAATAGGCTCAATGAATTAATCAGCCCCTCTTTCTTTCCTCTAGTTCCCCTCCCTTTATTACCTCCTTTTCTTTTTCATTGAGTTTCTCTGTACCAGGGAGGCCAGTGAGGTTCAAAGGTGGTGCACTTCGTCTTCCTATAGACACAGATGCAAAAGGAGAAATATTTCACAGAGGTGTAACTGTTCAAGTATAAAATAGGAAGCCTAACCTACTCCCTTAGACTGGTTTAGCCAGCTCCTTGGTCACTGTAGTGGTTTAATTGAGAACAGCCCCCATAGGCTGATATTTAAATGCTTGGTCCCCAAATGGTGGGACTATCTGGGAAGGATTAGGAGGTGTGGCCTTGACAGAGATGTGTGTGTGTGTGGGGTGCACTCTGAAGTTTCAAAAGCCTCATGATATTACCAGTGTGCACCATGCTTACTGAACAGAGATCAAGATGATGGCCCTCAGCTGTTCTTGCTGCCATGCCTTTGCTCTGGTTCATGGACTCTAACTCTTTGCAACCATAAACCCAATTAAATGCTTTCGTTTAGAAGTTGCCTTGGTCAAGGTGTCTGTCTTATCATAGCAATAAATAAGTAACTAATACAGTCACCACAGCATTCATTTGAAAATAAAAATAACAATCAATGTGCTCTCTGTTCTGTTGAAATACAAATATGATCATGCTCACCTTCATATCAATAACCACTCAGCACAGTGGAGGAACCTAACTGTGGGAGGAACCTATCTGATCCTCCCACATAGGAGACTCTAAACTCTGGAACCCAGATGCTCATACAGTTTAGAAAGGTTATATTCTATGTCTCTGGACAGCTGACAAATAGAAATAGGAATTCTGCAGGAGAGAGATTCTTCCTTGTCACTAGTCTCCAGCAGGATAAGGCAAACATGGTAATTAACCAAGTACTATGTACCTTCAGATCAAAGGCAGAGTCAGGCCACCAAAGCTCTGTTTATTTTTTCTTTGAAAAGAAGCGACGTTTAACTGAAAGATCCATACAAGACAAATGCTATATTTGCTATATGGCAAAGCAGAGACTAATGTCAACTTCCTATCTGAGAAAAAAACCCGAGCAGGAGGCAGCTCTGGACGTGCCAGGCCAGACCAGTATATAAACATGAATGCACAAGAGCTTCTCCTTTAATGGATGATGATGATGATACGTCTGTGTGGTGCACAGGCCACAGGTCAGACCACAACTGTGTGGTGTCAGTGCTCTCCTTCTGGCCTACTTTTCCAGGGTTCCATGGATGGAACACAGGTTGCCAGCCTTGCATAGCAAGCATCTTTACCTGCTGGGTCATCCCATGTGCCCCTGGTTTTATCCTGAATAGATGCTTGGGATGAGTGATCAACTGGGGACTGATAGAGTGGGTTAAGTTTTGTGGGGACTGCCACAGGAATGGGGCAGAAGGAAGAAAGGACTGCTCAAGTTGTTCTGGAGAATCTGATTCTTGGGGACATCAAAAATGCTAAGAAATGAGGCTTAAAAATGGAGATAAGGGGCTGGAGAGATGGTTCATCGGTTAAGAGCACTAACTGTTCATCCAGAGGTCCTGGGTTTAATTCCCAGCATCCACATGGTAGCTCACAATCATCTGTAATGAGATCTGGTGCCCTCTGTGGGCAAGCAGAGCATTCATACATAAAATATAAATAAATAAACATAAAAAAATGGAGATAAAATCATGAGCTACCTCACAAGTCTCCCAAGGCTAGGCTACAACCAGGGATGGTGGGCTCCCAATCTTTTACTGCCTGAAGAGCACAGATTCAGAGCATAGAGGGGAGCCAGGAACTCAAACACAAAGAGAAAGAAGGCAGGCCAACATCAGCCTGGGAGGAAATGGTGAGCTGCACGATCATTTTAATTAGCCAGTATTAAGTTTTTTAATTTCTATGTTTAGCAAGAAGGGAGGTTTGAAATAAGAAGTTTACAAAATAAAACCTGGGTTCCAATGTCTTCGTGGCTCCTTAAAAGGCTCTCTTCCCTCTCAAGTATCAATAACGACTTGAGGGGCTGGAGGCAGTTTAGTGGTTAAAAGCACTTGCTGCTCTTGCAAAGAATCCAGGTTCAGCTTCCAGCACTTTATTTGGCAGCTCACAACTGTCTGTAACTCTAGTTCAGGGATCCTGATGCCCTCTTCTGGCTTCTGCACACATGTGATACACACATATAACTCAGGCATACAGACATAAAATATATCTTTAAATAAAAAAAGAATTACTTGAAACAAAGAAAAACAATTAACCAGTAAATGCCTGAGCACTTAGATCCTTAATTTAAGGAGCCTTCTGTTTTGTTTGAGACAACGTCTCACTATGTAGCCCAGGTTAGACCCAAACTTTCTATCCTCCAGACCCAGCCTCCCTAGTACTGGGATTACAGGTATGTGCCATCATAGCAAGTGATACTGAGAAAATTTCAAAGATCTGTTGTGACAAAGAATGTGAACTGGTAACTGGATCAGGTTAGACCACTATGCTTCTTATGGTGGAGTGGTCTAGATGATCAGATTAGGGGAAATGCTGTCATATGAGGCAGGGGTGAATGGTGATCAGGACAACTGGCAAAGAACAGCACAATTTGGCTCATGAACTTCATACTAGTATCTCCCCAAATATTTAGTCACAAACAACAGTCACCAGGAATCATCAGATACATTGGCTTAGTCTTGTTCTGTCAATTAATCTCAAAATAGGACATACTCAAAAGAGGTAAGCTCAGAAGCAGAGATTTCCTTAAGTCGCTCATTACAAGAAATCCTTGAGTTTCTGGCAAATGACTTGCTGCTCAAGTCAAATACAAAGCTCTTCATGTAGCAACCCCAAAGCACACTGCAACTCTGCCACAGACACAACTCCAGTCCTGACTGTAAACATCATAAATTACAAGAGCATCCTTCTGAGTCCTGCTTGAGACAAGGCCATCCCTGTCTGACCATGAAGTCTGACAGCATGTTGAGTATCCACAAACCATTTCAACAGCTGATTACCATCACTCCACAGAAGGAGGGGAGCTGTGTTACCATAACTAGCCCCCCATGTAAACATCACAGTCCACACTTGCTCTGGGCAGGGGGATGGTTCAGTGCTAGAGGATACACATGCCCAGTATTTGAGAGGCCCTGGTTTCAAACTCCAGTGCTAAAAAAGAAAAAGACAAAACAAACAAAACAAACAAACAAAAACAAAACAAACAAACAAACAAACAAACAAAAACATCCCCACAAAAACCCCTGGGAATAGCCTGAGAAATCATTACCTGAGTTTGAAGCCGTCAGAACAGAAGGACTCAGCCCAGAATCACTAAAACAAAAAGGAATTTAAACTTAGGTCCTATCAAAGAAGGCAATTTCTAAAATCCCCTCATAGGACCGGGAGCATTTATCAGGAAGATCACCCAAGAAAAGCTATGGTGAGACTGCATGCCATTTCATAGGACATCTCACTGTACAGGAAAGAAAATGTATTCCAAAGGGGAAAACTTCCCTCGGCATTGCTAAGGGCTCTTAATGGGGACATCACCAAAGCCATTTGAAATTTTAACAAAAACCGCACCAGTGGGGAGAGACATGGGTGAGACATCTAAGTGGGTGAGACAGGGTTTCAGTGTGCACCCTCCGCTGGCCTGCAACTCACAGTGGCATTCCCTCCCACTCCAGAGCACAGAAATTACAGTTGTGCACCACCACAATCAGCTTCAGGTTCACTTTTTTTTTTGAGGGGAGGGAGTTTCTCTGTGTAGCCTTGGCTGTCCTAGAACTTGCTTTGTAGATTAGGCTGGCCTTGAACTCACAGATATCTGCCGGTGTCTGCCTCCCAAGTACTGGGATTAAAGGTGTGTGCTACCACCGCCCACCCCAATTTCGTTTCTTAAATCTGCCAGTACTACATTGTTTCTAGATGTACTGGTAAGAATCCTTACTACTCTAACACACAGAACACACACAAAAGTGTCCAAAAATACATGTGAAGGCCCCAGTATCCCAGAAGGAGTGCTTCCTTCGGCCCACCCTAACTGCGCACATGTCAGCCTGCCGGCGGAGCCACTGCTGGCACGCACTACTGTCCTGGATGTACTGGAGAACTTCTGAGAGCATGGTGCGTTTGAGGCGCTCCTCCTCTCTAGTCTTCTTCAGGTGATCGTATGTCCTGGCACCTGGAGGGATAAAAGACACTTGATTTCAAGGATATCACAACAGAGCCAAAGGGCCTGCTAAGTGAGCTCAGCCAATATTGGTCACTACAGATTTTTCCAGGAGCCAAGTGTATGTCTGAGTCAGAAATATGTCGTACTTGGTTCTTGTTCTACTTCTTCCATTTATGAGTGGATCTGACCCAGGGTTCCGAACATCCTAAGATAGTGCTATTCCACTAAACTATACAATCAGGTATATACTTGAGGACATGAGGACATACACTCTTCCATCAAAACCAGTTTGGATTACAAAACAGAAAATCCCTCTTTGTACTGCAACTTTCCTGTTTCACAGAGGCACAGAAAGCAGCACTAGGCAACCAGACTGAGTTATCAGAGTCCATATATGTATCTTGGACAACAGAAGAGTTACCTAGTGCTTTCTATACATTAGTAAAGTCACACAGATTTCAGACTACCATACCAGTGGCCCTCACCAATTCTAAAGAGACTCAAAGAGCTGATAAACAGAGAAGCCAGAACACAGCCATAAGCAATCCAATCTCTCATTGGCTTGTTTATATAGTGCTGTGTCTGAACACAGGGCCCTGCATGTGTGGTAAGCAATCTAACACTAATGGACACTCCCAGGCCTATGCTGCCAAGTCAGAGCCATTCTTTATAACCTGGCTCTTCTATTAACTAGCTTTTTAATCTCTCTCTTTTTTCTTTTCTTTTTTTCCCAAGAGATGGTATCTCTGTGTAGCCAGGCTGTCCTGGAACTCATGGATAACCACTTGGTTCTGCCACCCAAGCACTGGGGTTAAAAGCATGAGCCACCACTGCCCGGCTTTTTAATCTCTTTGAACCTTGAGTCCTTTGTTAAATAGAAGTAATGGTATCCCTTAAGTTTGTCATGAAATACAATGACTTGAAGGTGAAATGTATCCCATAGACCTGGTACATGTTAAATAAATGTTAGATATTTACTTCTATTAATAAAATTATGACCAGCCGGGTGTTGGTGGCACAGGTCTAATCCCCAGCACTCGGGAGGCAGAGGCAGGTGGAACTCTGTGAGTTCAAGACCAGCCTGGTCTACAAGAGCTAGTTCCAGGACAGTCTCCAAAGCCACAGAGAAACCCTGTCTGAAAAACCATAAATAAATAAATAAATAAATAAATAAATAAATAAATAAATAAAATTATGACCAGAACCTTAAGTAAACTGGATGCAAGCACATTAGATCAAGTAAAAGCCTAGTAAACAAAAATGATCATATGTATAAATAAATTTTAAAAGGTTGAGGTTAAAACCCGGAAAATAAGAATCACACACCCCACCCCACCTCACTCCTGTGTGTGTGTGTGTGTGTGTGTGTGTGTGTGTGTGTATGTGTGTGTGTGTGTATGTGTGTGTATGTATGTGTATGTATGTGTGTGTGTATGTGTATGTGTGTGTGCAGAAAGGGTCTCACTCTGTAGTCTATGCTGGCCTAAAATATACCATACAGACCAGGATGGCTCCAAATTCAGTGATCTGCCTGCCACTACCTCCTCAGTGCTGGGACTAAAAATGTGAGCTACCATGTCTGGCTAAGACTTGCTTAAAGAGCCACAGCAGACTCCCAATTCTAAAGCGGAGTTTCTTTTTACTGTGTGCCAAAACTTTTTATTTTGTCCTGATAAACTAATAATATTTATAGGAATTGAACAGATGCAACTTTAGTAAGGAAGTTTGTAAACTGATCTGAAACTGTTTGGTTGTTTTTTTTCAAGTTTTTCAAGACCCCAGAGATTCCCTTTTGTATGTGCAAGTCACTGGCACTTTGATACTGTAGGCAGTGGATGCATACTTACTACAAAAATTGGTAATGCCTGCTGTCCTATATTCTTGGAGCCTCTTGATTTCCCTCCGGAGTTCAAATTCCACTGTTTCCCCAGGAGAACAAAGGAGAAAAATTGGAAAAACAAATCAATGTCAGAGAGTTGTTGGGTATGTTTCAGTGATTCTGTAAAAGGCTGGTGACTTCATCTTAGGATACTTTTTATAACAGCTCATTAGAAATGTCTCCCAAAGCCAGGTGGTGGAGGCTCACACCTTTAATCCCAGCACTTGGGAGGCAGAGACTGGTAGATCTCTGTGAGCTCGAGGCCAGTCTGGTCTACAGAGTGAGTTCCAGGACAACCAAGACTACACAGAGAAACCCTGTCTTGAAAAACCAAAAAAAAAAATTTTTTTAAATGTAAGTATTCCTGTTCCGCCTTCTGTGTTAGCACTTCTACTCACACAGGCAAGTTCTTTGATGCATTTTGCCTCTTGATGAGGCCATGCTGCACAGGAAGGACAAAGCTTTGCTTAAGCCCTGGTTTCTTTTTAGCTTTTTCCTATAGGGACCAAAGAGCACTGCATTTTCCATGAACCAAATTGCTGCTGAGCAGACAGCTCAGAAAAAGCACTGCTGGGTTATTCTATGATAGAACAGTCCAACCTGGGTGCCTTTCAAACATGTGATGAAGGAAAGCCATCCACAGGGTGTAGCTCTCTGTGGTGACACATAAGCCGGGAATGATATAAACTAGGACAGGAAGTAAAGGATAAGTCATTCGATACCAACCACACAGAGAATGACAACCAAGCAAGGTGTTTCCTGAGGACAACCGACCTGGCTCAGATAAATGCCTAAGAAATATCTGCACCATGAGAGCATCGGTAAGGCACTTTTCTAGAAAATTACAACAACATGACAAAAAACTTCCTAGAACTAAACTGAGGAGTCAAATACATAGATCTCGTGAGGAGGGTATAGAAGTAAGATCCCAGTGCAGGCTGCCTCAAAGACTTAGGCCTTCCTGCTTAACAACTTCATTTTTTTTATAGTGGAAAATCAAATTATAATTGGGATGAATGCTCTTGGGAACAGCAAAGAAAGGCCAGAGGAAGATGGAGGTATTGTTTCCATGAGCCAACAGCCCTGTTCCCATGACTGAAACTAGTTTTAATGTTAAAATATTTATAAGCAAAACTATGATGTTTGGAATTGGCTTCAAAATAACCAGCTTATGGACAGGAGGGAAGGGAGTTCCCACTCTCTTTCAGATGAAGCTGGGCAGGTACTGTGAAGCTGGCCAGACAGACACAGGGATTAATTGTGTTGTTCCCTCTGCTTGTCAATATACTTAACAAGTCCTGGAAGAAGTAAAAACTGCTACACATGCTGGCACACATCTGCAATCCAGTTCTTGGAAGACAAAGGCAGGAGGACTGCAAGCCCTAGCCCAGCTTGAACTATTTAGAAAGTTCTAGGCCAGTCTGCGCTACATACATAGCAAGACCCTGTCTTAAAGCAAAAATAAAAAAAAAAAAAAAAAAAAAAAAAAAAAAAAAAAAGAAAAGAAAAGGCTGGGCATTGGTGGCGCACGCCTTTAATCCCAGCACTCAGGAGGCAGAGGCAGGCGGGTCTCTGTGAGTTCCAGGCCCGCCTAGTCTCCCGAGCGGGGGGCAGGAAAAGGGCCCACACCACCCACAGAAAAACACACTTCAAAAAAAAAAAAAAAACAGAACACAATAACAACAAAAAAATCCCCCAAAACAATAAAGAAAAGCCCTCTACTAACTTGTAAGTTACTAAGTTTTTTCCCTTTTTGGTATGGAGGGAGGGTTGTGTCTGTGTATGGTATATACATGCACACAGAGGCCAGAGACATGGGTGTCCTGTTCCATCATTTTCCACCTTATTCTTTGGAGACAGTTTCTTACTGAGCTAGGTGTTGGCTAGCAAACCCCAGAAATAAACCATTTCTACCTCCTACAAGCACTACTGTGGACAAATCCAACATTTCATACAAGTGTTGGGATCTAAACTTAGGTCATGTTTATGCAGCAAGCACTCTTACCCACTGAGCTTTCCCCTGCTTTTAAATCTATGCACGCACGCACGCACGCACGCACAGCTCCAAAAAAACACCTACATGCATGGCTTTCAATGAACTTGTCATGTTCCACTGGTCCCACAATCCTTGCAAATCGCCTCATTGTTTCATAAAGGTCTTGGACCTCCTTGGGATACCGCCGTTCCATTACTAGAAAAAATGAAACACAATATGTCACAGAGAATGTAAGAACTTCTAAGTTTCTGGTATTTTTTTCTAATTTTTTTAATTTAAATTAAAACAATCTTATTTTACATATCAATTCCAGTTCCTTCTCCCTCCTGTCCTCCTACTCTGGTATTACTTTTTAAAACAAGAAGTAAAATACAAGGACATTTTCCTAACCTCACATGAGTAACTCATCCATTACAACATGCAAGCAAGACAGCTGAGAATGCAAATGACTAATCATAATTATAGCATCACAGTACCTCACAAAGGAATGCTGTTATCATGGAGATCATCTCTACTACCAAGTACTATTGATGTCCCCCTTCCTTCCTTCCTTCCTTCCTTCCTTCCTTTCCTTCCTTCATTCCTTCCTTCTTCCTCTCTCTCTCTCTCCTTCCCTCCCTCCCTTCCTTTCTTTTTCTTTCTTTAGGTTTTTCAAGACAGGGTTTCTCTGTATTGCTTTAGAGGCTGTCCTGGAACTCACTCCGTAGACCAGACTGGCCTCAAACTCACAGAGATCTGCCTGCCTCTGCCTCCTGGGTGCTGAGATTAAACGTGTGTGCCACCAGTGCCCGCTTGCTGTGTCTTTGAATCTGCATAGGACAAGGCAGTGGACCAGGCACTGCTGTCACAAGAGAGAAGAGAATTAAAGGCAGAACTTGTGTTATCAGACACAACTCTGGCTAAAATTTTGGCATGGATTATTGCAGGAAAACAAGGAAAGCAAAGACATAAGAAACCTTATGGCTGGTGTAGAAGCACAGCCTATAATCCCAGTACTTGAGGTATAGGCAGAAGGACCATCACAAGCCCGAGGCCAGCCTTTCTCTAGAATACTGACTTACAAGCCAGCCAGAGCAAATAGCAAAACCTTGTCTCAAGAAACAGAACAAAACCAAAAAACACCAGAAAAGGTCAATTAACCTGGAAAAACTATGTGCCTATCTCATCTGGAATATCCTGTGTGACAAGTTGATTCGTGCAGCACCGTAGAAGGCACTCTTCCAACTGTGAGGCATCCCCAACCCCTTAGATTTTTTTTTTACAATTTTTTTTGTTTTAAATATGCACAAGTGTTCTGCCTGTATGTATTTATGTGCATCACGTGTGCCCACAGAGGTAAAAACAGGGCATCAAATCCCCTGAAACTGGAATAATAAATAGATGGGTGTGAGTCACCAGGTAGGTGCTAGGACCCAAACCCTGGCCCTCTGCAAGTGCAACAAGTGCTCTTAACTGCTGAGCCATTTCTGCAGCCCTACAAAAATGTTTTTATAACCTGTGACCAAGGTTATGTTTAACACATAATTTCAAACATGACTGTCTAGAAAATGATCCATTAATATTCATGCTGTAATTACTATAACAATTAATTCTTAGGCAATATTGTTGACTATAAATGAATAGCTTTTCACTGTCACCATGGGCCAGAGCTGCCTTGAACACTTTTGGTTTTGTTTTGTTTTGGTTTCTGTACAAGGAATCAACGTCACCGCAAACATGTTAGACACCCCTCTACTACTGAGCTACCCCCAAGTTCTGCATCTGAATTTTCAAATCTTCCTAGGTAATTCTAGCTAGCATGCAATGTGGATTATGAGCACTCCCACAATGACCTGAAACTACTCAACAGTGTTGGAAAAATTTAGAATAAAGAAAAATCAGCTCATACTCACATCGGAACTTTCTAAGGTTGACTAATCCATGATCTCTTATAATCCTAGAATGAAAAACCATAATAATCTATATTAAAAGTTTCATATTTAATGTCTTCTATATGTTACAGTTTTTATTACACATCCTAAATATTAAGAAGTAGAATATCAGGGTCCAGAGAAGTTAAGTCTCCACACATTTCTGAATTGGCCTCTAAGTGGAGAATCACACACTGTCCTTCTTGAGGCATAGAGGACTCTCACAGATGACTGTTACCATTCGCAAATGCTGAAAAAACGTGTTTGTTAAGATGGTTGAGAAGGAAATCTGTGGACATCATGAGACTAATTTACACAATTTGTAGAAATGATAATCAAGATCAGTCATTTAAGGGAAACTACTAGCCACAAAAGTACACACTGATCACACATTAAGCATTTACAACCATACATTTACACACTTCGAAGCCACTTGAAGTAAATATAGATTGCCATGTTTAAATGGAAGATCATTATAAAATATACGATTTAACAGCAACTCTCAACAATCAAGTTCCGAAAGGTCACATGTAAAGCCACAAGTAGAGTGTTCTTAGACAACATGCACCCAGTCCAAAAGTCAGAGAAAACAGGATGGCTTTTCTGTACTTACTTTTTTCGTCTTTGCCTCTCTTTTAACCTGGAATGATAGATATCCACCACAGCTATCTTCAGAGCTATAAATACAAATACACATATAAATAATAGAAATAAAAGTCAATACAAAAAACCCTGCCAAACAATTATTTCTTTTTAAAATTATTTTTATTTAAATTAGACAATTATTTCTAAGGGAGGGTGCTGACCCAGAGTTTTGCTATATGGGCTGGCTTTGAACTTAAAGACATCTTTCCTCTTGCCTCTGCCTCCTGAGAGCTGGGATTATAAGCATTTACCACCATGCCTGGCTTACCCAAAACTTAACTATTCCATGAAAAATATCCTAGCACACTAAATTTCTCTATCAGTAAATAACAAGTGTTAATCATTATTTTGGTAGCACTGGCAACCAAACCAGACCAGACAAGTTCTGTACCACTAGCTGTACCTCCAGTTCAAAAAAATGAGTGTTGCTCTAAATGCACAGGATTAAGCTCAAGAGACAATGACAGGGCAGCATTGATGGACAATGTTGGCGTGTTCCTAGAGTAACATTTTCAGTTGGGTGACAGCAGCTGTTTACAGTGCTGACTTCTGCATTCTGTGATGAAAAGATGCATTAAGCAGCTTAACCACAGTATAAGCCAGGTCTTACTTGCCTGCTCTTGCCCCAACCCTTTCTAGCTTTAGTCTCAGGGTAAATAAGAATAGGGTGAGCTCTTTCCTGCTCTTTCTTTCCCTGCCATGCTATTCCCATCTTCAAAGTCCCTCAGGTTTCTGCTCTGGCCTCTCTTTTCACTCCTCACCTCACCCATTCAAGCTCTTTGGTTCCCAGGGTTCCAAGTTCCATCAGACTATACCATCTAAAACTCTAACAACTATTTTAAGCATCACATCCTCTTGGATATCCCTATTTACATGGCTTCCATTGCAATCTTACATATTCTGCCTCTTTCCCATCTTAAAACTCTTGCCTTGGTTAACAGCATTACAGTAAAGCTAGTTGTCTGAAACAGAAACCAACCTGGAACTTCTTTCCCCTCTTCCTATATAGCTAGCTAGAGTCTTATCTAAACATCTAATGTTTCCCCCTACATATCTTTCTGTCTAATACCATCACTCAACTTGGGCATCTTGTCATCTTGATGCCTCCTTACAGAAGTACATTATCAGACTTACTGACTATGGTCCCTGCCTTCTTCAATTCCCTTCCTCCAAATGGGACTGAGAGTATTATTTTACAACACAATTTGATGGTACAGTTCCTCTGCTTCCAATTCTTCAGTTACAGACCTCCCCTTCCCCCCTGAACAGGAGGTAAAGGTCTACATGGTTTAAATGGCCTTCCACTGTCTTGTTGCCTATCATTCCCTCATAGGCCCTCTCTATTCCATACTCAGAAAGCACCAGCCCCAGATCACACAGCTGCTAAGAACACATCAGAGATCTAAATGCAGGTGACCTGGGTCCAGAGCTGTAAGGAAAACAATGAAGCTGGGCATGGTATCTCATGCCTTTAATTCTTTGCACTCAGGGTGCAGAGGCAAGTGGATCTCTGAATTTGAAGCTAGCCTGGTTTACAGACTGAGTTCCAGAAGAGGCTATAAAGAGAAACCCTGTCTCAGAAAAACAATAAGCCTTCCACGTGTTGGCTATCTGTTAGTGGCTTTACTTTCTCTGTTACCCCTATCCTAAATCTGGCTTATTAATAGTATATTAATAAAAAATTTAGTCTTTAAAAAAAAACCCACAGGCAGTTTATAATTAGAGGACCTCTAGGGTTACTAAATGAAGACTAATTATTAGCAATTCTAGAAGAAACCACGAGTAAGACATAACTTAGCACTACGCTGCTTAATAACCACCCTTCTGTTTAGAGTCTGAAAGCACTTTAATTTAATGACTTCAGTACGTTCTGGAACTATCTTAAGAACTTGTTGTCTCCTAAGTTTTATGTAATGTAGTGTGTGTTCATTACTGAATACATTCATGGAAGGAAGAAGTCCCAGCATTGCAAAGCAACCTGCCACATGTCTTTTGAACAACTGAAGTACACAATCCAAGTGTCAGGAAATATAATCTTTAAAAATAGACCAGCTTTTCTACCAATGAATTTGACTATGTATGGAAATATACATTTATCTTCATTCTAAATTAGAGCCCAAAGCCCCTGGAATGTTGGGAATGCAAACTCATCTTTACCCCTAGTACAGAGATCCAAGTTCAAGGTTAGCCCAGGATGGCAATGAGTCATGTCCTACTAGTTTTAAACACTTTATTCACACAAAATCTTACTAAGCACAGTAAGTCAGACCTTATCTGGCTGAACCTACTCAAGGCCCAGCTAATGTCCCAAGCAGTTGTTCCTGAAGGTTCCTCCACAGAGACAGTTAGAAGTCCAAATTTCTACTCAAACCAGACTGTATGGTAGAAGGCAAAAAAGACTAATGAAGTACAGGATATAATGACTTCTTTTACTGTATGAAGGCAAATAAAAGTCTCAAGCTATGTACAATCCTGGTAGGCTGGGGGTAATATAATAAATTTTAACTGGGCATGGTAGAATATATATGCAATCCTCCTAACACTTGGAAGATAGTGACAAAAGTATTAGCATTCTAGTCCAGCCTATGCTATACGAAAACCTGTCTCAAATGTGTGTGTGTGTGTGTGTGTGTGTGTGTGTGTGTGTGTGTGTGTGTGTGTGTGTGTGCGCGCGCGCGCGCGCGCGCGCGCGCATACATGCATACATACATACATACATACATACATACATATTTAAGGAGATGGATAGGTTTTCAAATCTTTAGGTAACAAACTTGTGGGTCTTTCCTTCCTTCCTTTCTTTCTTCTTTCTCTTTCTTTCTTTTTGGAGACGCTCTTACTATATGGCTCTGGCTGGCCTCGAACTCACCAGGACCTGGTTGCCCTCAAACTCAAAGAGATTTGCTTGTTTCTGCCTCCTCAGTGCTGGGATCAAGGCATGTGCCACCACCACCTGGCAGCATTAAAAACTCTTAAGAATGAAATCTTTCTTGATTTGGGGCTTGTTCTGTGTAACAGTCCTGCTACCCCAGGGCAATTGACACCCTGCCTCTGATTAACAGAGGGTTGGCAGGCAGGTTGTGGAAGGAGAAGGGGATCTGAAAGGAAGCATCTCTGTATGTAGATCTTTGTATGTAGCATGAAGTTTCTTACAAAAATGGAAGGACTGAGATGTAACAATTCCAAATCTAAGGGAACAAAAGCAATAATAGTGGAAACACTTGGAGAACTCACATTTATGTTCTTTAAATTCTTCACTTCACTTATCTCCCATTTAGATAAATTCTATACAAAAGAAGTATCTTGGAGATCAGTGCAAATTAGGGATACTGGGTTGTTTTGTTTTGTTGTGTTTTTGTTTCTCAAGACAGGGTTTTTCTGTGTAGCTTTGGAGCCTGTCATGGAACTCACTCTGTAGACCAGGATGGCATCAAACTCACAGAGATCTTCCTACCTCTGCCTCCTGAGTGCTGGAACTAAAGGTGTACAACACCACACTTGACACAAATTAGGAATACTTTTGATAAAATCATTTCTGTAATTTTGTAAAACACTAACTTTACCATGTTGTTTCCCAAGACTTGTGTAGGAATGACTAAATTAAAACAGAAAAAGCCTTGAGACTGTACTACAAAAATAATCTATAAATAAATATTGCTAACCACTGGTTCTACTGCTTGATCATTTCAGTGCCACTGGCTCCAGGCAACAAGGAAAGAAAAGAAATAGCAGCAATAGGAGGAGAACTGGAATTCTCCCAGAGAAAAATTAGTATTTGAAACTACCCCCTTTCCTTATAAAGCACACTCAACAACAAAGATTGCAAGATCTTAACAGCACCAACAACCCAGGGAGGCAGAGCAAGCAAAATGAAACAGAATCATTAGCTCACATTCCATTCCAAGCAACTTGGAGCTCCAAGTACAAGTTGCCAGACAAACCGGCCAGAGACCACTAAATAGAACCACCCAGAATGTACCCACTGACACCAGGCCCTGAAATCTCAGCTCTGGGGGAAAGAATAGTCGCCCTGTGATTACACTGGGGACTGATAGTTTCCAAATGGCTGGCCTTAAAATATTTCAAGAAGTGGGCAGAAGACAGAGGCAGCTCCTTCCCACTGCAATGTATTTCTAACATTGTTCAAAATAGCTAGCAACATGTTTCTGTTTTCTTGACAGAAGGCACTTACTGCTTGCTTGGCAAGAAATTAACTGAGAGGACTGAACTGCAGAGAGGCCACCAGAATCCTCACTGCAAGGACACAAAAACAGTTAGACCCATGACTCAGGTAATCCCCAGAAGCAAAGCTTTCTAAATCACACCTGTAATCCCAGAACTTGGGAAGCAGGAGGATTAGGCTCAAGGTCATTCTCCACATGAGTCTGAGGCCAGCTTGTGCAATAAGAGACTCAGCCTCAAAAAAAAAAAAAAAAAAAAACAAGGGGGGGGGGGTCGGGCGTTGTGAGACTGAAGAGATAGATAGATGGCTCAGAGGTCAAGAGCTTAGCACCCATGGCTGGTAGTTCAAAATGGCTTGTAACTAAGCCAGGTGTGGTGTCACTCTCCTTTACTCCCAGCACTCGGAAGGCAGAGGCAGGTGGAGCTCTGTGAGTTTGAAGCCAGCCTGGTGTACAAAGCAAGTTGCAGGATAGCCAGAGCTGTTACACAGAGAAACCCTGTCTCAAAACAACAACAACAAAAGGCTTGTCAATCAAGCTCCAAGGGATTTGACATCACTGACATCTGTAGGTACCTGCATTCACATGCACATAACATGCATACATATAGATAAACATAATTAAAAAGTAGTAGAAATAAATTAGAAATAAAGCTGGGGGGGCACTTTTGAGATAGGATCTCTATGCAGCCCTGGCTGTCCTGGAACTCACGATATAGACCAGGCCGACCTCAAACTCGGAGACCCTCCTGCCTCTGTCTCTTGAGTGCTGGAATTAAAGGTGTTTGCTACTCAATCATGCATAAAATAAAGAGGCAACTGGGTGGTGTTGCCTTTAATTCCAGCATTTGA